GAGAGGCTTTAATGAGGATAGCGCAAAACCTTCGAACGCTAGATAGCAAATGAGACCCATTTTGCCCTAAAGACTATGAAGGATGGGTTTTGGAGCTTAAAGTTCCATATTTGAGTGCAATTGACACTTTATTGTACTTAACCCAATGCTCTAGACTGAACATCTCATTCGCTGTTAATCATTTCATAAGATATAGCAACGCACAAACATACAGACTGAAATGATATTCAAGGCATCCTTCGTTACCTCAAGGGTACTATGGATTTGGCTTTATTATATCCTTATATATATCTCAAATAGATCATACCCCATTGGTCTTTAAACTGATGTTTGCCTTGTTGGTTATGTTGATGCATGTTATTTATCTAATCTACATAAGGCACGTTCTCAAACAGGTTTTGTCTTTACCTTTGGAGACAGGTAGTATCTTGGAGTCAACCAAATAGACCTTAAATGCGACTTATTTGAATCATTCTGAAATTCTCAATCTTCACTAAGGTACTCGTGAAAGCTTCTGTGTAAGAGTTGATGTTGAGCATATTTGAAGCACTTACAGACTTTCTTCAGTTGTTGACGTCCTTATAATGATCTATGAAGACAATTTCGCATGTATCAACTTGATCAAGAAAGACTACATCAAAGGAGACAACACCATACATATTGCGCCAAAATTGTTATGTGATTAATCCTGACATTAGTAGTTGAGCTCTAGGAGAGTATTGTGTAAATTTCTTTTTGGAAGTTGTTACATGTTTCTTTAAGTTTATGTCACGAAGTGTGGTATATGTATTTGATTAGTTTATGTAGTTGATCGTAGTTTTGTTATTTTATACATGATCAAGAAACGTGATTCTGGGATCTGCTTAGAGTTCATATATCAAAATCCTTTTCTGGGTGGAAGAGATGGTAGCAGAATCGTGATTTCGCAGTCTGGAAGACTAAAAAGAAACATGAGGCTGCTTTTGAGAAAATGGAGTTTTGGCCTTTGAAGTCGCAAGCTTGATGTCTAAGCTGGTCCATCTATGGCAACTTCTGAGCAATAAACAGGTTGCTGGGCTTAGAGAAGAAATCACAAATTCAGTGGGCATCAATTACCGACGCTTACAATTTTCATCATTCAAATCACGACTTGATTGCTTTGAATGGAGGCGTGGTTGTGCTCGGGTGGAGGGGAACACGAAGATGGGAAATGTGGAAAATTAACCATATTTTAGACCTTATATATAATTATAGCCACTATTTTAGTTTTATGATAATTCTAACCAAAATTTGATGTAAAAGTACTAATGTACCCTTAATATTAGGGTTTCTCACAACAAAAACTGCTTTAAACTCTCTCGCAACCTTTTGGTTTCTCACCTTAAACCAGATGAGCACCCTTTGCCAATTTTTCATAATATACCCTTAATTTAACAGCAATATGTGAATATCTATATCTACTCTATATCTATATACATACATACATACATACATACATATATATATAGATTAAAAAAGAGTGTAGGAAATGGAGGGGTTCGAGAGTAAGGGGCACCGAGTAGTATTTAAGAGGCTACATCTTTTATGCTTCAAGATCTCAATTAATTGTTGTTTTTTCATGGTTAAGAGTAATGGGGATTTTTTTTGTCATTAAGGGTATATTAGTACTTTTACATTAAGTTTTGGTTATAATTATCAAAAAACTAAAATGGTGGCTATAATTCTATATGGGGTCTAAAATATGGTTAATTTTCCAAAAACAAGAAGATGAACAAATCATCATCTTCCCTTTTTTTTACCTTTTTATTTTTTAAGTTCTTTATTATTTAAATATTTTTAATCAACATATCAATATTTAATTAGACTTGTGAGATCACATCACTAAATAACAGGATTATAATAAAATGACCACATTGATTTGTAACACTAATTTTCAGGAACTACATTGTTCCATTTTCAATTTTAAGGATCACTTTAATGATGTGAGTCAATTTCAAGGACCATATTAGTGTTTTTTTTTTTTAATCATTCTCTTGATCAGTTTAGACTTTGGACGCAAAAAAACTCGACAATTACAAGGGAACTAGTATCGAAATTTCTCGATTTTAATGCAAGAATCTCACACTTCATGCTGACTTACTAGTAAGTCTGAATTTTAGTATCGAACGATTATATCGGTATATAGGTTACCAGAGAATATATAAACATTTGCTTCGTAAAACAAAAGGAGTTAATAAAAGTACCACCTTCAATTTACTGAGCTTAGCAACATTCAATAAATTAATTCATTGTTATTTTTAGTAATTAAAAGAACAAAAGGGTTGGCTAGTTTGTAGTTTCCACCGAAATTTAGGTAGTTGTTATATATCATACAATTTATGGTTAATGGACCATCCAACTTTTTCTTAGTGCTTTAATTTGCAGGTAAGGTGCAGTGAAGTTAAGTACAGAAGTTGCTTCACCTTGCTAGTCGGAAAGCGTGTTGTTCGCTTAATCACTGTCACTACTTAAGCCACTAGCTCTGTCTGTGAATGCTTTGAGTCAAAGCTAATTAAATTCACTCGAAATGATTGATTAACGACTAATCCCACTTCACTTATGAAAGCAATGTCTTTGCTTAACCAAGAGTTTAGTGACTAAGTAATTATTGAAATATTACGTGCACCTTCATGGCCCACTAGTAGTGTTGAGATCTCAACCTTTTGGACGTAGAAACTCTAAAAGAAACTAAAATAGAAGAAAATAATACTCCGAAAGCATTTCAGGCATTAATAATGCTTGTTCGATAAAAAAAATTAAATTCATTACGTATAATGGTCATTGTTTCATTATGATCATTGTTTATTTGATATAATATTTTATAATATTTTGACATTAGAACAAATCTGACCCGATGATATTAAAAGGTGAAATTAGGGTAAACAAAAAGGTGATGATCTAATGAGACGCTCTAACTAAATGATTACTATTTTATGCCGAGAGCCCGGACAACTGCATACCTGTTCTAACATCAAAAGGGTTGAGTGCAATACAACACTAAGAGTGCATTTCACTTTTACATCAATATATCGTATATTTTCCTTAAAGAAATATTAAACTAAAAAATGGACCATATTTTATTGAATCATTGATATATATATTTAGGAAGACTTTGGATGTGATACCTAGCTATAAATATTCTTTGACTCAAATCTTGTTAGTTTTCAATTTTTTATCGAAGTTCCTGAAATTAATGTGATAATTAATTCTATATATGTTACTATATTTTTAAATTAAAATTTTAAATTTATAGTTGTTTATATTAATGAGATTTTAAATAAAAATCCATAATTGTGGGATTAAAATTATTAAAATATAAAAATACTATTGTGTGTGTTTATATATATATAAGCATGGGTACAATCATCAATATTAACCAAAATATTATTCTACCAAAAAATGTGTACATTCTTCAAAATCACCAAAAAAAAATAAAAAAGATATTAGGCTTAATAACATTAGTAAATTTCTTTGTTTAAACTTGACATGAATACATTCTCAAATCAAAGAAAAAAAAATGTACCCAAATAAGTTAAAAATAGATTAGAAAAAAATTGAATAGATTTTATATAAAAAAATGGTACATTTTACATATAACAAATTGTTATATTTAAGAATGAGTACATTTTAAGATTAAAAATTTGAAAAATTACATGAATGGGCACATATAATTAGCATGGGTAGATTTAGCAAAATTAAAAATGAGTACAAATAAGTTAAAAAAATATGGGTACAAATACAAATAAAACTTTTTAAAATATGGGCACAAAAAGAAATTAATATATCGGTACAGATTAAAATTGAAAAGAAAATTGGTACAAATTAAAAAATGGTTGCAAATTAAAAATGGGTACAAACTAAAAAAAATATATATATGATAAAAAATTTAGCCATAAATATAAATATACTAATTGTAACATAACACTAAATGAATATATTTAGAAATAAAAAATATTTTATTGTTGAAATAATTAATGATGTTATTAATATTCAAGAACCTTGATCAAAAATTGAAAAAGAATAAGGTTTTAATCAATAAATTAGCAAAATAAGGGATGAGAACCTAATTTCTCCATATATTAATATACATACTAAGGGGTGAGATGAATAAATCGGTTATGAACTCGTCACTCACGAAATTCAAAACTATAAGACCTCTCACTTACAATTGATAAAAAAATATCACTAAATTGTAGTATAAGTGACAAAATTTGAAAATATATTTAAATATGGAAAAAAAAAAAAATTTTTGAGGTTTCATTCTCTTGTACCAAAGTCGCGATATATTAGCGTCAAATGTAAACATTTCTATTCGATTGATATTACAAAGACAGATTGGGCTTACAATTTTGACTCGAATGATATTACAAAAACAGATAACCGAGTACTTTTCTCAAGGAAAGCAGTTTAGGGGTTTGAATAGTTAGTTTATTGTTTGTCTGAGGATTCAGTTAGATCAACTCACTAAGTTTATCACTTGATTCACGTATATGCACTTTTGAGATCCTAACACTCCGGCCGCGTATAGAAAGTACGTACGGATAAGAATGTTTTTACCATTGACTCCCCGTTAAAAAATAGAAAAGTAAAATGTTATAAAATAGCAAAACAATTGTTTTTAACAAAAAATAAAATAAAAATAGAAATGTACATGCAATTTTACCATTCAACATCAAAATTAAAAGGAATTTCTCTCTTTGGGCAACTTGAAAAATAGAAAGTCTGTTTTCTTTTAATACAAAAAATAGAAAGTTAGAATAAAGCTAAACAAAAAAAAACACGAACTAATTAATGGAAGGTTAGTTGTTTATAATAGAAAAAGAATTTGTGTGGAAAAGCAGGTGGAACCAACCGACAGACAAGGAGAAGCATGGATTAGTTTTCTTGGCTTGGAAATGAAGGGATATGAATAGGTATGGCAGTTAGAACCACTCTCTCTTCCTCTCTTTCACTCCCTCACACACACAGACATACACACACTCTTTCTCTAAGTATCTCACTCGTTCGAACCCAACACAACAAAACGTACTCTTGATGTACGGACGTCCATCCCTTGGTTCTAACTTTGACTCGGCGGCGCCACCGCCACAGAAAAAGTCTCTCATCATCTAACCCTCCGTCCACTTGTCACAATGTCGTCCCACCCCAGCTCTTCAAGAACTCCCACACCCCTCTCCCTCTCTGTACCATATCCACAAATTCAATCCAAACCAACACCTCAACTAAAAACTAGGACTAGAACCTCTTAATTATCGCCATGCAACCCCACAATTCTTTTCACAACAAGAACAAACACCTTCTTTCCCTCTTTCATTCTTGACCCACTTCCATCATCACCAATTTTCTCCATCCCTCTCTCCTCTATAATTTTGGTTTTTTCCCTGGTTTTCGGTTTTTTTTTTTTTAATTAATGGCTTTGATTGTCGACCAGCAATCAAGCTTTAAACACTTCTGTAAAATATGCAAGAAAGGTTTTGTGTGTGGTAGAGCGCTAGGAGGGCACATGAGGGCACATGGAATAGGGGATGAAGGTCACATTGACGACGACGACGATCCTCCGAGTGATTGGGAGGACAAACTCCGCGGCAATGTACCCGCTACCAACAAGTGCATGTATGCTCTAAGAACAAACCCTAATCGCCTAAAAAGCTGCCGGGTTTGTGAGAATTGTGGTAAAGAGTTCTTATCTTGGAAATCCTTCCTTGAACATGGCAAATGTGGTAATTCTGTAGATGCAGAGTCCCTTGTGTCCTCGCCAGGCTCTGATGAGGAGGATGGGGGTGGTGGTGGCCGGCGAGGATGTGGGTGGTCAAAAAGGAAGAGATCTTTCAGAGCCAAAGTGGGAAATTTTAGTCCGCATTGCCCATCAAGTGAGGAAGAGGACCTTGCCAATTGCTTAATGATGTTGTCCAATGCCACGGTGGATCCAATGGAGGCAGAACCAGAAGAATCTTGTGCTTCAGCCAGCAAAGAAGAGGAGCGAAGAAACCCTATGAACATCATGACTCCTGTTTCACGTGGGGTGACAATTGACAACAATAAGGCTAAAGGGGTTGCCAATAAAGGTCTGTTCGAATGTAAAGCATGCAAGAAAGTATTCAATTCCCACCAAGCATTGGGCGGTCATAGGGCTAGTCACAAGAAAGTTAAAGGGTGCTTTGCTGCCCGTCTTGATCATCTTGAAGATAGTATGGCGGATGATGATGTCATCACACATGAAGAGTTCTTACCCAATAAACCCAATTCAACCCTACAATTTGACCATGGGTCCAATAATCCATCCGTTTATACCTCAAAGAGAAAATCTAAGGTGCATGAATGTTCAATATGCCATCGGATATTCTCATCAGGACAGGCATTGGGCGGGCACAAGAGGTGTCATTGGATCACATCCAACGCCACGACAGACACGTCTACTCTAGTCAAGTTCCATGAATTTCAAGAGAGTTTGGAGCAGCAAATGATGAACCAAAGGTCTAAGTTTGATGCTTCGGATCCACTTGATCTGAAGCTCGATCTTAATCTACCTGCTCCGGTGGATGAGAATGGAGGAGGTAAAAGAGAGCGTCCCAATCCACCAAGCTTGGATGTCTCTGCAGATTTCTTTTTACAACCATGGACTGGGACAAAGGAGGAGGACAATCCCCATCACCACTCCCACCACCAAAACGACAATGACAACCTTAACAACGATGATTATAATAATAATAATAATAACAACAATAATAACAGCACTGATGTTTCAATGCAGAATGTAGTTGATGAAGGAGACAGTAAGGTGAAGTTAGCAAAGCTAAGTGAACTAAAGGATATTACCAACAGTGGGGGCTCCTCACCATGGTTGCAGGTGGGAATTGGTTCAACAACTGATGTAGGAGCTGAACCATAATTTCATGTGAAGGAATGTGAGATTTTCTCAGCTCTCTCTCTCCCCCTTTTTGTTCAAAGATTTTTGTACCAAGAAAACTGTAATTATTACAAACAAGCCATAGCTCAGCATTCATTTTCAAAACTTATTTTCTTTTTGAATTGTTGCTGTACATTATAGTGGGTGAATAGGAACCCAGTTAAGCCCCAATCTCATTTCATGCATATATATTGCAGGTGATTTATATATATACTTCTAATAAATCATTGTATTTTTTCTATATAAATTTTCTTGTTAAAATTTGTTTGGCAAAGAAAAAAAGATTCAAGTCTAGTCATGATGTATGGTAAGAATTTGTTAGTATCAACCCACTCTTACAGTCTTACTCAATTGGTAGAGACTAAAGTTAAAGTTGAGTCTGAATTAGCAGCTGGTGCTTCCGGTGCTGATCTTAGACTTATGTCTCTAAAACTACTATCATTTTAAACCTTTGTTTAGTTATCTTCTCTATAAATCTTAGACAGCAAATTGTTAAACTACAAAAATAAAAATAAAAATAACTAGGCTTGTTACAATCCCAAACCAATCGAGCCAATCTAATCCAACCAATTTTGATTGATTAATTTCAATGACTTGTTTAGATCAAATGACATATTTTCTTGTGAGAGCCCAATCAAATCAAATATAATCCAATCTAGTTGGTTTTTTGCTCCTTTTTTCTATCTCATATGCATTTGAAATTCAATAGATTGTGATTAACTGAAGTCATTATATGAAATTGTGTTTAGTATATGAGTAATGTTAGATAATCAAATTTTTAGACCAAATTTGTAAATCATGTGATATGTCGAATAAGCACGTTAATCAACACTTCAATAATAATCTAATTATCAAGAACCACGTTATATGATTTACAAAATATAAATTAAAATTAAGTACCTAAAATCCTCCAACCTTTTAGTGTCATTCCAAATTGGTGTCAACCTTTTTAAACATTCAAAACAAGTACCTAACCTATTGAAAATGTCACATCTGTTAAGCCCCAGTTAAAAATTTACTAAATCAAATAGGGGTTTGTTTTCCTTGCTTGACGTTTTAATGTTCTTTGTAGGATTTTATTTATTACTCATTTTTTAACTATTAAAAATAAAAAGAGCTTGCAAAAAAATCAAAAGAAAATACCAAATCATCAATAAAAACAGAAAGAGAGGGATTCGAACCCACGGTATGAAAAACTCGTACAACAGGTTTAGCAATATGATGCTTTAGTCCACTCAGTCATCTCATCGATCGTGGTGAAGTCAGCAATGGATTTGGTGGATCATCCACGTCACACTAGGATTTTGGAAGGACATTTACGAGAGTGAGGTGAGTTTTAAGAGAAAGACGGGAGAGGAATTTGGTGTTGCAAGATTGATGACTGGGAAATGGTTGGTAATGTGTTGGTTTGCTTTAGCAGGTATATTGGTATGAATGAACATATTATGGATATAGAATGTTTTACTTTGTCTACAAAACCAATAGAAGGTCATGGAAGCATAACCTCCACCAACTAATGATCACCACCACCCAATCATGCCATCACCTCCAAATCCAACGCAAAGCTTCAAATTCCTCCCTACAACTCAAGCTACCAACATCGAGAATAAGGTCATGGAGGTTGCTTAAATGACATGGACTGCCATGATGCGGCCACCACCATCTTACTACCCACAAAGAAGAACTTGAAGTTTTACGAGCCAATAATCGACGAATGAGAAAATCAGATGAGCAGAAACATGTTCCTTGAAACCCTATATGAATTTTTAACCCTCTTCTATGTTAGAAGATTGCATTTCTAATGTAATTTCAATTTGGGTCCATTTTCAATTCAATTCAATACACGTTTGACCATTGGGTTCCATATTTTATACCTAGTTGGCGCGTTTTGAATTTAATCTATGTTTGAAAAATTCACTGGGACTTAACTGATGTGACATTTTCAATAGGTTGGATACTTGCTTAGAACGTTTTAAAAAATTTAGACCAATTTGGAATAACACTAATGACACACCCCGACCGAGATCAAGACATGTTGCCCGTCACGTGAGAGTGATGTAACCATGTGCACAGTGCGGAAGCAATAAAGATAAGAAATATTCGAATAATTAAAAACCAAATTACTAGAGTGCATTACTAAACAGAAAGTGATAGGAGTTAGTTACAACAGTGAACACTCCTAATCAGAGCATAAAGTCTAGCTGCAGTCCAGTAGGACAAGTACTAGTTATACAGTACAAGAATTGTCCTACTATTATTTAGATAAGTTAGAATTGTTGACGTCCTTAAGCCACCAACAGCAAGCTTACTTAAAACTTGAAGGGGCGCAAAATAGAAAACGTGAGTGGGCAAAAACAAATGTTTTACAAAATCATTTTCTTTATCAACATATCTAACCCCTCGCTGTAAAACATGTATAATTTTTCCCAGAATCAGAATATAAGCATATGCATAATATATATATATATATATACACATATATATGAATTCATATCAATTCAATTCATGCTTCGCAGAATCATATTCAAACATATATGCCATGCCAATACATAATAGAGTACGCAATTCAGGTAAAAATAAATTCATAGAAATATGATATGTTAGTCGGAACCCCTGTGGTAGTCTATATGGCTGAATTCATAGCTCAAAATCAATCTAGCCGGAGTCACTACAATGACCTATATGGCAATATATTGCACATAAGTCGGAACCCCTACAAAGGTATGTACGACAAGATTGGGTGTAATATAATTATGCTCAATTTTACTCTCTCATAATGGCCAGGCGATAAATCGCTAGTCATCTACGAGTCAGAACCATAAATAAAGTCTGTACGACAAGACTGTGCACTTAAGTTGGATCCAATATGAGCATATAGTGCGGAAGGTGATGTAAATAAACAGGCATGTACTTCATATCTTTGGCTAAATCACAAACACCCTAGGTGCAGTTTTATGAGCTCAACATCATTCAATCACATATCACATCATCGATGATTCACATAACCAAACATAACTTACTTGAACTTACATGTGCCTCCACAGCACCACATTATATATATATGCAACCATGAAATGCATATTCAAAATATAAAAGCATTTGGCATATTATTTCAAAGCATACTTTCCTTAAAAATGCATTTCTGGGAAATATATCAAGTATATAAGTATATACTGAAAACAAAAGCCCACTCACTGATATGTCGACGGGTTGTAACCCCCGAGTCGACCCTATATACGCTTGTCCTCTGGATAAGCCTCACCTATATGCGAATTAACTATAAAAACGTTATTTTAAAGCACATAGGCAAAACTAGCTAATAACTTCTCATACTTTGCTCAATTTGGGTATATGAATATATCACAGTGATCTACACAACCTCACGAACATCATGATATTTTTAGAAATGTTTTTTGAGCCATCACGCGCACGGGAAAACGCGTTCCCCACGCGCGGCCAAACCTGACGGATTCCCTAACCACCATTAGGGAATATTCCATTAAACCTAATAGATTCCGCTAAAATTGACGACGGCGTCAGCATATTCCGTCTAAACTGACGAAATATGCCGTCATCTTCTCTGACGAGTCACCAGTCGCCGGGAAATTGGGTAAAACTTCAAACCCACTATTCTCACTCGTTTCTCAACCATTTTTCATGAAATTTGAACCATTGGAAAGCTAACAACATGTAGAATCACGTTATACCATTTTAAAACCTTGAAATGTACTAGATTTTACTTGAGGAAGCTCGATAATCCAGTCAACTTTGAAAACCTTCGATCTCGGCCCTCCGACGTCCAATCTCTTCCAACGAACTACCCCGAGCTTCCTTAGGACCTCCTAAAACTTCATGTGAGCTTGAAATCTTTTGAAACACAAGGTTTTATGTCCACATGAATAGTGCATGAAAAATGAGTTTCGGGTTCTCGAGATTTCGAATGAATCCTTACCTGAAATGGGTACCAACCAACTCGAAATGGCATAAGGAATGCAATGGTGCCTTTAGAATCTTCGATCTGCGACTGGAATGCTCGCTTCGAGCTTGGTCTGTACAAGGAAGAAGAGAGAGATAGTGAGGAAGAGAAAGATGAGGGCACGGGAAAGAAGAGAGAGGGAATGAGGGTGGTGTGTGTGTGGTCCATGTGGTCATAAATCTCAAAACCACACAATAACTCTAAATCTCAATATGTCACACATACACACAACAATTCCCGTCCAATGATAAAATTGTCGCTTGACCTCACTGATAAATGAATTTTGGGACGGGCTATGACAATCTCCCCACCTTATAAAATTTCATCCTCGAAATTATACATAACAAATACCTCCACTAATAATCATAAAACAAGCGTGGATACATCTCTCTCATCTGATCCTCTGTCTCCCAAGTAGCTTCTTCCACCGAATGATTTCTCCATAACAGTTTTACCAAACGAACTGTCTTATTCCTCAGTTCTTTATCCTTCCAATCCAACAGAGTCACTGGTTCCTCATCATAAGTCAAGTCTGAATTGATTTCCAAAGGTTGAGGAGGAATCACATGTGAAGGATCTGAAACATAATGTTGAAGCATCGAAACATGAAATACATCGTGCACCTTGGACAACTCTGGAGGCAATTCAAGCCTGTAAGCAACCTCACCGACTCGCTCGGTGATCATATATGGTCAAATGTACCTAGGACTCAACTTTCTTTTCTTTCCAAATCGTACAACACCTTTCCAAGGTGATAGCTTCAGAAATACCCAATCACCTACATCATACTTCCGATCAATGGCATGCTTGTCTGCTAAGCTCTTTTGTCGATCTTAGGCCGCTTTCAGGTTAGACTTAATTACCTAAACATTTTGAGTAGTCACATCCACAATCTCAGGGCCTACTAAAACTCTTTCGCCAACCTCTGACCAACATAGAGGCGTATGACAAGATTTCCCATAAAGTGCCTCAAATGGTGCCCTACCAATGCTCGAATGATAACTGTTGTTGTAGGCGAACTCCATCAAATCCAAACAATCATGCCAACTATCTCCAAACTGCAGCACTGAAGATCTCAACATATCTTCTAATGTTTGAATGGTCCTTTTAGATTGTCCATCTGTCTAAGGATGATATGTCGTACTATAGAGTAATCTCGTACCAAGAGCTTTTTGGAATGCTATCCAGAACTTGGAAGTAAATCTGGGATCCCGATCCGAGATGATATTAACTGGCACACCATGATACTTCACAATCTGCGATATGAATAACTTAGCTAATTGACTTAACGAATACTTCTCCCTCACCGAAATAAAATGTGTTGACTTCATAAGCCGATCAACTACTACTCAATTGTTGTCATAACCATTTTGTGTGCGAGGAAGCTTGTACACAAAATCCATAGTAATATTTTCCCATTTCCACTGTGGAACGGGAAGTGGCTGCATCAATCCAAACGACTTCTTTCTTTCAGCTTTAACTTGTTGGTAGATGGCACACCTACTCACATATTCGACAATTTCTCTTTTCATACCTGACCAATAATAAAATGGTCTAATGGTATGATACATATTAGTACCTCCTGGATGCATCGCATATGCCGAAATATGTGCTTCATCCAAAATTTCTTTCTTTAACTCTGCATTATTCGGCACATAGATTATGCTTTCCTGCATAAGCATGCCATCAGTTTCTCGAATCTCGAAATCTTTCTTTTTGCCTTGGTTTCTTGCTTGAATTATTTCCTGAGTCTCTTCATCATTCATCTGAGTTTCAAGCACACAATCAATTAAAACTGGTCTAACCTGGAAATTAGCAAGCAAGGCTTCTTCTCGATCTTCCACTTTTAACTCCACTCTAAGGGACCTCAAATCTGCCAGAAGTGGAACATGACAATCATAGATGGCATTAAATCTGGATGGAGTCTTTCTACTAAATGCATCCGCCACTGCATTTGCACGACCAGGATGATCACTAAGTAATTCAATCCACCTCTGCTGACGAAGATTAAGATCTCTCTGAGTAAACAAATATTGAAGACTCTTATGATCTGTAAAGATTTTACATTTCTCACCATAAAGATAATGTCTCCAAATCTTCAAGGCAAAGATGATAGCAACTAACTCCAAATCATGTGTAGGGTAATTCTTCTCATGAGGTTTCAATTGTCTCGAGGCATAAGTAATCACCCTACCATGTTGCATTAATACATAACCCAAACAACTCAGAGAAGCATCACTATAAACCTCATAATTACCGCCATCATCTGGAAATGCTAGAACAGAAGCATGAGTGAGGTAATACTTCAGCTGTTGGAAACTTTGCTCACATTTATTATCCCACTCAAACTTAACATCCTTTCGAATCAACCTTGTCAATGGCAGAGCAATCACTGAAAAATCCTTAACGAACCATCTATAATAGCCTGCTAGGCCAAGAAAACTCCTTACCTCGGTGATGATTCGAGGTTGCTCCCAATTCTCCACAGCTACCACTTTTTGAGAATCCACTTGAATGCCTTGAGAAGAAACGACATGTCCCAAAAATGCCACTTGATTCAACCAAAATTCACATTTGCTAAACTTAGCATATAGTTGGTGTTCCCTCAAACTGCTCAACACCAACTTCAAATGTCTAGCATGCTCAGCTTTAGACTTAGAGTATACCAGGATATCGTCAATGAAGACAATAACGAACCTGTCCAAATATGGCTGGAATACTCAATTCATCAAATCCATAAAAGCTGCTGGTGCATTAGTTAACCCGAATGACATCACAAGGAACTCATAATGACCATATCGAGTCCTGAATGCAGTTTTATGGACATCTTCATTTTAATCTTTAACTAATAATAT